AAAAGACAGATAGACAGACAGAAAGAAAGAGAGAGGGGGGACAGACAGAGAAAGAAAGAGAGACAGACAGACAGACATACCAACAAGCAGACAGAGGGAGACAGACAGACAGAGACAGAGAGACAGACAGAAAGACTGAAAGACAAACAGAGAGACAGATGGAAAGAAAGAGAGAGAAAGACAGACTGACTTAGACAGACAGGGAGAAGACAGGCAGACAGACACATACGGACAGAAAGACAGTGAGACAGAAAGACAGACAGATAGTCAAAAAGACAGAGAGAGACGTCAGACAGTGAAACACAGACAGACAGACAGTAAGGAGAGAGACTGACAGACAGAGACAGAAGGAAAGAAAGAGAAAGACAGACAGAGAGACAGACAATGGGAGGAGAAAGAGAAAAACAGAGATGAGACAGACAGACAGACAGTAAGAGACAGACAGAAAGAAAGACAGAGAAAGAGAAAGATAGACAGAGAGAAAGAGAAAGAGAGAAAGACAGACAGACAGACAGACAGACAGAGAAAGAAAGTCAGGCAAACAGAGAGAGAGAGAGAGACAGGCAGACATACCGACAAACAGAGAAAGACTGACAGACAGACAGAAAAAGAGAGACAGAGAGACAGACAGAGACAGACGGAAGGACAGACAGGCAGAGAGAGAAAGAGACAGGCAGTCAGACTCACAGAAAGACAGAGACAGCCAGACATACAGACAGAGAGAGAGGGAGAGACAGACAGATAGACAGACGGAGACAGATAGACAGACACAGACAGACACAGACATACAGAGAGACAGACAGACAGAGAGACGAAAATACAGACAGAGAGAGACAGAGACAGTCAGACATACAGACAAACAGAGAAAAAGAGAGACAGACAGAGAGACAGACAGACAGATATACAGATGGACAGACAGAGACAGGCAGACATACAGGACTGACAGACATAGAGAGAGAAAAACAGACAGACAGAAAGAGAGGGACAGACAGACATCCAAACATACAGACAGAAAGAGGGAGACAGAGAGAGACAGAAAGGGATGCAGACAGAGAGACAGACACAGAGAGAGAAAGAGATGCAGACAGAGAAAGACAGACACTCATACAGACAAGCAGACAGACAGAAAGAGAGACAGACAGACAGAAAGAAAGAAAGACAAACAGAGAAACAGACAGTGAGAAAGAAAGACAGAAAGACAGACATGGAAAGACAGACAGGCAGACAGGCAGAGAGAGACACACAGACAGACACATAGGGACAGAAAGAAAGACAGAAAGACAGTGAGACAAAAAGACAATGAGAGGAGAGAGAGAAAGACAGACATAGACAGAAAGACACTAAGAGACAGACAGATAGACAAAAGACAGAAAAGAGACAGACAGAGAGAGAGACAGAAAGACATACCGAGATAGAGAGAGAGAGAGAGAGAGAGAGAGAGAGAGAGAGAGAGACATATAGACAGACAAAGACAGACAGATGGACAGACAGAGAGACAGACAATGAGAGGAGAGAGAGAAAGACAGGTATAGAGAGAAAGACAGACAGAAAGACAAAGAAAGAGACAGACTGACAGAGAGACAGAAAGATAGACAGGAAGAGAGACAGACAGACATAGACAGAGAGAGACACACACACTCAGAGAGAGAGGGACAGTCAGACAGAGAGACACAGACAGACACAGACAGACAGGCAGACAGAAGAGAGCCAATGAGAGGAAAGACAGACAGACAGAAATACTGATGGACAGAGAGACAGACAGAGACAGGCAGACATATAGGACAGACAGAGAGAGAGAAAGACAGACAGACACAATGAAAGAGAGAGAGAGAAAGACAGACAGACATAAAGACAAACATACATAAGGCAGAAAGAGGGAGACGAACTGAGAGACAGACAGATAGTCAGAGAGAGAGAGACAGACATTTATACAGACAGACAGAGGGAGACAGAGAGACAGACAGAAAGACTGAAAGGCAATGAGAGAGAGACAGAGACAGACAGAAAGACAGAGAAAGAGACAGACAGACAGACAAAAAGACAGAGAGACAGAGATAGAAAGACAGAAAGACAAAGACAGACACAGACAGACAGACAGACAGACAAAAAGACAGACAGTGAGAGTAGAGAGAGACAGACAGAGACAGAAAGAGAGACAGACAGACAGAGACACAGACAGTGAGAGCAGAGAGAAAAAGACAGACAGACAGAAAGACAGAGAGACAGAGAGACAAAATAAAAGACAGAGAGAGAAAGGCAGAAAGAAAGAGACAGAAAGACACACAGTGACAGACAGAGAGACAGACAGAGAGACAAAAAGACAAACAGAGAGAAAGACTGAGAGAGACAGAGAGAGAGAGAGAGAGACAGGCAGACAGGTAGAGACAGACATGCAGTCAAAGACAGACAGAAAGAGAGACAGGCAGGCAGGCAGAGAGTGAGAGGGACAGAGAAACAGAGAGTGAGAGAGAGACAGAGAGAGAGAGAGAATGGCAGAAACATAGAGACGGAGAGAGACAGACTGACATATATGCATACATACAGACAGACAGAGAGATAGAGAGACAGACATGCTGACATAAAGACAGATAGGACAGAAATACAGACGGACAGACAGAGAGACAGAAAGAGAGACAGGCAGAGGGACACTCATACAAGCAGACAGAGGGAGACAGACTGACAGACAGAGAAAGACAGAAAGCCTGAAAGACAAACAGGGAGACAGGGAGACAGAGAGAGAGAGAGAAAGGCAGACAGACAGACAGACAGACAGACAGAGGCAGAGACACAGACAGACACATAGGGACAGAAAGACAGAAAGAAAGTGAGACAGAGACAGACGTCAAGCAATGAAACAGATGAAACAATAAGACAGAAAGACATAAGGTGAGAGACTGACAGACAGAGACAGAAGGAAAAAAGAGTAAGACAGAGATGGAGACAGAGACAGACAGACAGGTACAGACAGAGACACAGACAATGAGAGAAGAGAGAGAAAGACAGACATATAGAGATAGAGAGACAGAGAGAAAGAGTGAGACAGATAGACAGACACAGACAGACAGAGAGACAGACAATGAGAAGAGAGAGAGAAAGACAGAGATAGAGAGAAAGACAGACAGAAAGACAGAGTAAGACACTGTCAGACAGAAAGACAGAAAGGCAGAGAGACAGAGAGACAGACATAGGCAGACACAGACAGAAAAAGACAGACGGGCAGACAGAAGAGAAACAGACTGTGAGAGGAGAGTCAGACAAACAGAAAGACAGAGATAGAAAGACAGACAGACAGACAGACAGAGACAGGTAGACATACAGGACAGACAGGGAGAAAGACAGACAGAAAGAAAGCAAGAGAGAGAGACAGACAGACCTATACACATACATACATACAGACAGAAAGATGGAGAAAGACAGACAGAGATAGAAAGAGGGACAGAGAGACAGACAGGGAGACAGCCAGACAGTCAGAGATAGACAGACAGAAAGACAGTGAGACAGAAAGACAGACAGATGCAGACGTCAGACAATGAAAAGAGACAGGCAGAAATAAGGAGAGAGACTGACAGAGAGAGACAGAAGGAAATAAAGAGAAAGACAGACATAGAGAGAAAGAGAGAAAGAGACAGTCAGTGACAGACAGAGAGACAGACAGACACATAGACAGAGAAAGACAGTTAGAGAGAGACAGGCAGACACATAGACAGACAGAGAAAGACAGTTAGAGAGAGACAGGCAGACAGACACTAGTACAGACAAGCAGACAGAGGGAGAAAGAGAGACAGACAGACAGATATATGCAGACACACAGGACAGGCAGACAGAGAAAGACAGACAGAAAGAGAGAAAGTGCCAGACAGACAGACATACATAAGACAGAAAGAGGGAGACAGACAGAGATACAGAGAGAAAGACAGACAGTCAAAGAGAGAGAGAAAGACAGACAGACATACAAACAGACAGAGGGAGACTGACCGAGAGAGACAGACAGAAAGATGGAAAGACAAAGAGAGAAAGAGACAGAGAAAGAGAAAGAGAGACAGACATAGACAGATAGACAGAAAGATAAGGAAAAAAAACAGAAAGAGACACAGACAGACACATAGCACAGATAGACAAAGAGGAAGACAATGAGATAGAAAGACAGGTATACAGACAGAAAGACAGACAGAGACAGACGTCAGA